AAAGTTTTTAAAGATGACGATGCAAGAAGAGAAGAAGAAGAGTATCGCCCCTTGGCTGAACCAAAGTTGAAAGGGAAGCTCGTTGAAGGCGTAGAAGGGCTTGTATTCCCTCTTGCAAAGATTGAAATATCAAGGCCCCCTCGAAACACATCTAAGGATGAAGTGAAACACGAGAATGATGTTAAGACATTTCAGCTCCCTAAGGCACGCACAAATGAAGGATTTGACCCGAACGCGTACAAACTTCTAGCCAAGGCTGGGTATAATCCCGATGAACAGATTTTGGGAAAACTCATCCCAGAAGCTAGTGGTGAAGGGAAACCGAAGCAGATCAATCTTCGAGGGCACACAGGATTGGGTTATGTTCAGCCGAATCCCATAAGGATCCTCATAAATAGAGCCGCAACGCATCATATCAGTGCTGGTGAAGAAGATGAAGTGACTTCTAAACCGAAGTATTCTGTCTTTGATCGGATTGGGGGGGCAAGATCAAGGCCTGCCATATTTGACAGAATGGGGCCAAAGCCAAAGAACATCATGAAGAAGACTTTAGAAGAAAGGCTTGGAATGATCCCGATGATCGTGAAGAACGTTGAAGATCCATGTAGTGGGCAAAACTTTGCGCGGAAACCAATACTTGAAAGGTTGGGGAAAATTCGCTCATGTAAGAGGTCTTTCAACCAATATGCAAAAGCACAAGCTTCGAATGAATGCAGAAGCTTGATTCCGTCAAGAATGAGACGAGAAACTGATGTAAAAGTCTCATGTGGAGAAACCCTCAAAGCACACAACTCAAAACCATAGTTCATACTCAAATGCTTGAAAATAATGAGTTGATATCTGATGAACTAGCCGATGACAAAGAATACATTGCCTCATCTTACCATGTTACTTTTGAAGATGAAATTCCGGCTGAAGGTGAAGATGCTGATGAAGCTCCTCCTGAATTTGAAGACGGAGTGCGAACCGCCTTGGATGAATTACAAGAAGTAAACCTTGGCACCGAAGAAGATCTTCGCCCCATTTATGTCAGTGCTCTTCTCTCAAGTGAAGAAAAACAAGAACATTTGGCCTTACTTCGAGAGTACAAGGATGTCTTTGCATGGACATACAAAGAAATGCCGGGGTTAGACCCAAAGGTCGCTGTTCATCACTTAGCGATAAAGAAAGGATGTCGACCAGTAAAGCAGGCTCAAAGGCGCTTCCGCCCAGATTTAATCCCATTAATCGAGGCAGAGGTAGATAAACTTATTGATGCTGGGTTCATCCGAGAAGTAAAATATCCTACTTGGATAGCCAACATTGTCCCGGTCAAAAAGAAAAATGGACAGATCCGAATATGTGTTGATTTTCGGGATGTGAACCTTGCTTGCCCAAAAGATGACTTCCCATTGCCTATCATTGAATTGATGATAGATGCTGTGACTGGACATGAAATTATGTCATTTATGGATGGTTTTTCCGGTTATAATCAAATCCATATGGCTCCCGCGGACGAAGAATTGACTGCGTTCCGAACTCCTAAGGGAATCTATTGCTACACGGTCATGCCGTTCGGACTTAGGAATGCTGGAGCTACTTACCAACGAGCTATGCAAGCAATATTTGATGATATTCTCCACAAAATCGTGGAGTGCTATGTTGATGATCTCGTGGTGAAGTCAAAGGCCCGAAATGAGCATCTATCTCACTTAAGAATAGTATTTGATCGCTTGAGAAAATTTGGTCTCAAAATGAACCCTCTGAAGTGTGCTTTTGGAGTTTCAGCTAGGAAATTCTTGGGATTTATTGTCCGTCACAAAGGCATTGAGATAGAACAAGCCAAGATTGACGCTATTGTGAATATGCCTGAGCCGCGGAATATTCATGAACTGAAGAGTTTACAAGGGAAATTGGCTTATATACGAAGATTCATCTCAAACTTATCGGGAAGGTGCCAACCGTTTAGTCGAATTATGAAGAAGGGTGTGCCTTTCATATGGGACCATTCATGTCAGAATGCGTTTGATAATATCAAGGCTTATTTGATGAAACCACCAGTCCTAAATGCACCCGTTGCTGGTCGCACTTTGATACTGTACATTGCAGCTCAAGAAAGGTCTGTGGGAGCTCTATTAGCTCAAGAAAATGATAAAGGGAAGGAGAATGCCCTTTATTATTTAAGCAGAATGATGACTCCACATGAATTGAGGTACTTGCCCATTGAGAAGTTGTGTTTGGCTCTCATATTTGCAATCAAGAAGCTCAAACACTACTTCGAGGCTCACACTATAAATCTAGTCTCTAGGGTGAATCCGCTGAAGTATGTGATGTCTAAGGTGGTTCTATCTGATCGTCTTGCTAGGTGGTACTTGATATTTCAACAGTTTGATATCGTCTATGTCTCACAAAAGTCTGTAAAAGGACAAGCTTTAGCAGATTTCCTAGCCGATCACCCTATCCCTGCTGAGTGGGAACTTTCTGATGATCTACCCGATGAAGATGTGCTTATAATTGAAATTTTGCCTCCTTGGAAGATGTATTTTGATGGTGCTGCACATAGAGAAGGAGCTGGAGCTGGTGTTGTCTTTGTTACACCCGAAGGTCAAGTTCTGTCCTATGCTTTCACGCTTATGGAACAATGCTCCAATAACGTCGCTGAGTATCAAGCACTCATCCTCGGACTTGAAATAGCTGTAGACATGAAGCAGGCATGAGTTAATATCTATGGCGATTCAAAACTAATCATCAATCAAGTGCTTGGAATCTATGAAGTCAGAAAGCCTGAATTACATCCTTACAACAAATATGCAAGAGCACTCATTGGATGGCTTGGTGAAGTTACAATTGAACACGTACCGAGAAAAGAAAACAAGCAAGCTGATGCACTAGCAGGGTTAGCATCAAACATGGCACATCTTGACGATGAAACTCAAATACGGGTATGTCAAAAATGGGTAATTCCTCCTTTCATCGGAGAAGATGGTGCAGCCGAAGAGATAATCGAGATGCCAACTACATCGGTTTATGATATTGAAAATGAAGATTGGAGACAGCCACTCATTGATTATCTTACCGATGGGAAGTTACCTGAAAACCCCCGCAAGAAAGTAGACCTAAAGAGGCGTTCACCACGTTTCATCTACTATAAGGATACACTTTATCGAAGATCTTTCGATGGTGTATTCCTTAGATGTTTGGGTGGAGATGAAGTCTTACAAGCAATTGAAGAGGCACATTCTGGAGTATGTGGAGCTCATCAGTCCGGTCCTAAATTGCACTTTCACATCAAGAGGATGGGATATTACTGGCCAACTATGGTGAAGGATTGCATGGATTATGCTCGGCGATGTCAAGCATGCCAATATCACGCAAATTTTATCCATCAAGCACCTGAACCATTACATCTGACAGTAGCATCATGGCCATTTGACGCTTGGGGACTTGATGTAGTTGGACCAATCACGCCTAGCTCATCAGGAGGGCATTCATACATACTAGCTGCTACAGATTATTTCTCAAAATGGGCTGAAGCAATTGCATTGAAAGAGGTAAAGAAGGAAAATGTTGCTGATTTCATCCGAGTCCACATTATTTACCGCTTTGGCATTCCCCGATATATCTTGACAGACAATGGGAAACCTTTTGACAACAAGTTGATGGACAAGATATGCAAGTTGTTCGACTTCAAGCAACGAAAGTCCTCTATGTACTATGCTGCCGCCAACGGCCTCGCTGAAGCTTTCAATAAGACTCTGTGCAACCTGTTAAAGAAAGTAGTGTCAAGGTCAAAGAAAGATTGGAACGAAAGAATGGAAGAAGCACTATGGGCATACAGAACGACTTATCGAACACAAACCCAAAGTACTCCATATTCTTTGGTGTATGGTACCGAAGCAGTCCTTCCCCTTGAGCGCCAAATACCATCTTTGAGGTTAGCTATTCAAGATGGGCTCACTGATGAAGAAAACGTCAAGTTGCGGTTGACAGAACTCGAGGCACTTGATGAAAAGAGGTTAGAAGCTCAGCAAAACCTAGAATGCTATCAAGCACGTTTGTCATGATCTTTTAACAAGAGAGTTAGAGTTCGTTCTTTCCAAGTTGGTGATAAAGTTCTAGCTGTGCGAAGACCTATCATTATTACAAGGAAAACTGGACACAAGTTCTCGCCTAAATGGGATGGTCCTTATGTTGTTCAAGAAGTATATTCAGGCGGTGCCTACAAGTTGGTCGACGCAGATGGCTCAAAGATTGGCCCGATCAATGGGAGATTCCTAAAGCTCTACTACCCTTGATATTTGGGGTATGCATATGGCCATAGGAAATGTTGAATGGCTTAAACCACCAATGATGTTGTAAGTGGTTAAACTGCTAAAACATCTCACTTTGTCTATGAGTGAGCATAATCATAGATACTCTTGGCCCATGAGAGTTTAAAATGTGTACGGCAAGCTCCTGGCCCGCATGAGTCAAAACTGTGTACGGCACCCCGCCCCTTTAAATTACCTTTTCAAATGGTACTATGAACTACGTTTGACTTGATCTCCTTCATGGGAGTACGTAGGCAGCTCAAAAGTTTCATTTTTGAGTTCAGTTATAACAACACAAACCCCAATAAAGTTTAATGTTACACTACTAGAAAAATAGCTATTTGCTGCGGTTATTTTTAGCTATTTGCTGCGGTTCTGAACCACATCAATTGAAGGGGCAGCAAAATGTAGATATGGTTATTTGTTGCGGTCAATAACCGCAGCAAATAGAGATTTCTATTTTTATTTTAATTCACTTATTGCAGCGGTTGTACACAACCGCAGCAATTTATATAAAGTATAAGTTGCGTCAGTTGCTTGTTTACTTTTCCAAATGGATGATGAACACGTTTTTTCTTTTTACCTATACTTTTTACTTTACGTATAGGCTATAGATAAAGTATGGAGCAATATAATCAATCATATTCCATTACTACCAATTTTTATGAGTGGTATAGAGTACCAAAATTACAAGTCTTAAATTATGGAGCAATACAATCAATCATATCCAGAGGTAAATTACAAAAAGTCAAAAACATGGCAAATAGCCAATACACCAAGACTTATAATCTTACAATACAATATTTATGGGTTGTATAGAGTACAAAAATTTATCACCAACACATATCACCCATTTATCCCGAACTTCAGCAATTCACTTACAATGCTTTTGTAAATCTGAAATATTAAGCAACTCCAATTAGTATGTGTTCACATTTATAGCATCAACAAGTAAATAATTAAATTAATAATGATAAAGTAACTTTATTATAATAATATAGTTGTCATTTTTTTTATTTATTTCTTACTATAATTACAAGATGTAGCTCCAAACTATTTAAAGGGATTCCAAATTTTATGTTTTCATTTAGATTTTACCTAACATGTAAGTATGATCGTGTGAATTTTCACATTGATTGTCATGATCTCATCCTTCTAATTATGAGCCCATAGATTATTGTAAAATACTGTTGACGTTAGAAGTAACTCTCAGATCAGCAAACATGGCTTTTGAACCTGAAAGGAATGGAGTGAATCATCAATATTTTAATAAAATGGTTTTGAGAATAGCCTTCAATAAATTATATGGCTTCTTTCCGGTAAGAAAAAAGAAGTTATCAGGTGTATGTACTAGCCTGTGATGCAATAAGAGAATTCCACCCAAGGACATCCAGCCTCCCCTTCGAGTTTTCTTCACGAATTTGTACATATAATGTGGTGACAATGCTTTATACACTTGAGGGTTCTAATGAATGATATTATATAGACCAATTCAGCTTATACAGAGAAGCCATGTTATGACACAGGTGCAAACAGAAACCCAACCATGTGTGTTCCATAGTGTTGAAGAGAATACAAGGCTATCAGAATGGTACAAGCAACTGGAACCCCTATATCTGCAAAATATGAAATAAAACGTTATCATCTTAATAATATTTATGGTGTCAATTATTTTTCTAACATTAATTAACACTAAGTGAAGAAGTTTTCTGCTGGACGACCTTCCGCTAGAAGCCTTTTTTCTTACAGACGAATAATGAGATCAAATTTCAAAAACACCCATCATGCTATGCTTTTTTCCACTTGAGTGGAAACAATACCATAAAACAATTTGACAACCTTTTTGCCAAAAGTTAGATAGAGATATTTGTAATCTAACTCTAATATATGTCAACGCTTAGATAACTAGTGGGGACCTACTTGGCAATTTCAAGGAATTAAATTCAACAGAGAACAACTACTCTTGACTTGTAGCCCACACCTAGTAAAACACACGATGAATAACCTTCAAAGGTTAGCTTTATCTAGAACATGAGTAGGATTTACATTTGTTATGCTTTTTAGAGATAGGTTAGCAAATGATAATAATAAATGTCATTTTTTTTGTAATTGCAAGTAATGAACTCATACCAGATATGGCAGGTGAAAGAATACCATCACTAATGACCATACAAGCTCCAAGTAAAGCCAATACAAGCATAACTCTCTGCAATACCCTATGCCTCTCCAATGAGGATTTTAGCCCTTTCCCAACCGTAGTGTGGGGTGGAGCAGTTCTATCATTCTTGTAAAATGACAGTTCTTCATCTGCTAACTGACAAGTTGGCAATGAGCTAACCCTGGCATGTCTACAGAGGAGAGAATAGAAGTTGACATCCATACAGGTATATTCAGGTTCAGAGCCCATAAATGTTGACGTTAGAAGTAACTCTCAGACCTGCACAAACACCCACCAAAACTGCAAGTATTTACTCCAAGCCAAGAAAATCGATGAGAACAGAATACATAGAGAGGAGAAGAACTAAACCATTAATCTCACCAATTAGCACCCATAAGCTAAATAAATTGAAGACTGGATAAAGAGAAGATGCAAAAGCGAAGGCAAATCAGTTAATTTATGCCCACCTCTATCTTTACCTTTCTCAAATGCTTCTTTTCATTGAAATGGGAATTGAATCCTGAAATGATAAGGAAGTCAAGAAGGTTATATAATGATCTAGACAAGCTAACAAAGAGGGGTGAAAAATATATAAAGCGACATACAATAAGAAAAACAATATCCATGTTTCCATAGCTCTCTTTGACTAAACTAGTAATAGGGTATAGAACATACAGTACAGGATAAAGGGTAATAGTCTGACACTTCAAAAATCCTGTTAACATCACAAAAAATAGCCTCAGAGACCAATCAAATTAGGAAATTGGTTGTGCAAATACAACATTTAAAAGCATAATACAACCGTATGAAACTCAATTATGCACTAATTACAATTTTGGAACCAAAAACAATAGACACCAGGTTTGAATTTCTTTAAATGAAATGAGAAACATCAAAGAATCTGAATAGGTATATATTACAAGAGGTAAAAGTAACAATTAAAGGTTAATTGCGTTAATATGTAATTAACAATATACTCATGATAAAAATTGAGGAACATACCTCTAAAAGTAAAGAGAGAGACGAGTGCATACTATGACTTATGTCTCTAGTTGAAATCAAAATTCAAACATAATGGTTAATCTTCCTTCCCAGTGCATAGCTTAAATATGAAGAGATTAAAGAATCCCAAAATGTCGAACTCCAACAATCACTGACCCCAAGGGACTAGTGCATACCGTCTAAATATGGAAAAGGAGGGGAGGCCGACGACTATACTGGGAGGGGCGGCAGCATGTGAAGGAAGCAGCTGGTGCGCTGTTGGGAGGGCGAAGGAGGCAGTGGTTACCAGCTGGAACCAGCAGCTAGCTGTTGGGCAAGACGACCGCTTGCTGATGGACGGAAACGGCTGAGACGATGGTGGCTTGCGGCTGGAACGAGGTTGGAGTTTGGAGGAGGTCGGCGGATTTGATCTGCGAGTAATGGAGGCGCGCAGTCTGTGCGTAGGTTTAGCCATCTCAATTCGCTAAATGCTATCAAGTATGGAGTAATTTTTAGTACTTCTTGCTGCGGTTGCTTTGAGCCCGCAGCAAACGGTGAATAAATTAATTTTTTTTAAAGCAATTGTCGCGGTTTGTAGAAGTCCGTAGCAAATAAACTGTTATTTTTTCCGTTAATTGCTGCGGTTGTGAGATGACTGCCGCAAATACTTCAAATTTTCAACATATTGCTGCGGATTACTAAATGACCGCCGCAAATAAGGAGCAACAAATGACGAAAATTCTAGTAGTGTTAGTCATTGAAAAAGAAGTAAGGAGATATCAACTCATGAGGAGCAAGAAAGCGATCAAATATATATCCATATATAGTTTGATGCAAAGAAAAGAAGGAAAGTGCTAGCTGAGTAAAAGCTAATAACAAGTCAAAACAAACTCAGCCTAAAAGCAATTTAAAGCTGACTAAGTCATCCTTCAAAGCCTCTAGCTCCTTCTTCTGGGTACTTAAAGCAAGTTGATCTTTGTCTGATGCTTCGATAGTCTTCAAAATCCGTGAAGATTCCTCCTTGGCCTTCGTAAGAGCTGCATCCAAGTCACTAGCCTCTGCATGACGCTGGGAAATCAAAACTTCTACTTCCTTGGCTTCAGCTTCCAATAAGGCTATCTTCTTCTTGATTTCATTAAGAGATTTCTCATCATCAAGTAATGCGACTTGATTTTGAGATCTTTTAGCTTCAATATCTTCACAAAAAGCTTGCGACATAGCCAATTTCCGAGACTGCTTCTCCGTAGGGACCCCGTCAGCAACAGTCGAGCACTTTTGATCAAATGCTTGTGCTCTCTCAAAGAAATTCTTCACTCTTGTCTTCAACATGGAAAGGTCAATACCGTCCTTCTCCATCAGGATAATACAACTCTGAACATCCTCTCGAAGAGAAGAAACGTTCTCTGTTGTAGCCTTTTCTAACTTCTTTTGAATACCGCCCCAAGTTTCAATGACGAACCGCTTATACAAAGTAAAGAAGTAGTTCTCTGCTTGAAAAACGGATACAGCCGGTATCTCGTTGGTTGGAACTTCTTTGCAATTACTTGGGGCAGCTTTCGCCATCAATTCCGCGACGGTTTCATGATCATCAGTTTCTCCTTCACTTGAGCTAGATGAAGAAACATGATTTGAAGAACTAGCATCATCAAGGATTGGATGAATCTGCAAAAGAAGGAAGAAAGTATAAGTCCAAGCTTGAGAGTAAGTTAAGTCATTAAATAATGAAACTAACCCTTAGTGGCCCAGGATGAGGTTTTCTCTGGAGATGCTTCCAATTCCTATCATCATTACTCTGCTTCTCAAGAACTTGATTCTCACTAGCCCTAGCAGCAGGTGTTTCTTTCTCAGCATCTTCGATCAAAACTTCAACCCTAGGTACCGCAAGCTTAGCCTTTTTCTGAGGCAAAGACTTAGCTTCAGTATCAAGTACCTTCTTTTTCTTGGAAACTAGAATCACAGGATCTGGTGGAATGACCACATCACCAACTGCAGCATCACAAATCTTGATCAAATCACCCACACGATTCTCGAGGTAGCTACCATGAACTTGGCTCCACCATTCTTTGTACTCCAAGGAATAATACTTCGCTGGGATAGTCGGAGGAGTTGGAAACACCGCTTCAGCCCGTGATATACCATGCTCAAACTGTTGCCAGTATCGAAATCCAATAGCAAGCGGAACACAACGGTCGTGCTTTTCAATCAAACCGGGAGCGTAAGCTTGAAAGTAGCCAAACTGTCGACTAAATCGATGAGGAGTGTATGGCTCACAAATAGAATGATTTTGATAGCGTAATATGAGGTAGTTTGATCGAAGGCTTCTGAAAAGTGGTAACTCAGCATCTGAAGGATTTTCCCCGTCAAAGAATTTGTAGTCTTTGATCCTCCTATGCGTGGAACATAACCATGCTGATACGTCACCTTGAAAAATCCTCTTACGCGCACCTCTTTTCTCAAGAGACCTCGCTCCACTTTCTCCCGAGTAAGCGATCATTAATGGGGTTGTGGACTGGATATCATTCTTAAAATGAGTATCAAAGTATGATGCCAACCATCCGTAAACATAGTGAACAGGAAAGCATGTTTTAACGTGATCAGGAAACGGAGCTTGCGAGATCTTATTAAGCCCATGATAAATACTGGCAAGTACTGGAACTGCAAGACATACTTTCCTCCCACAAGCCATCATACAAGCAACTTTAAAAATTTCCGGACGAATGACCCTCGGACCGTCGTGGGGCAATACGAAGGCGCAAAGCCAACATGATAAGAATGCTGCTAGGTATATCTCTTCCTCATATCCAGCTGGAATCTTTAGTGCGTGGAACGGCACCTTCATAGAATTCGACCACCCGCTAAACTTTGGAATTGCTCCGCTAGGATTATGAGTTGCCTTAGCACGAGATGATCTCTTCGTTTCTGTTCTCTGTGGAGGCATAGTGTACTTAGAAGCCTTCTTAAACCAAAATTTGACCCACACATGGACACGCAGAGCACGTTTGTCTCCCTCCTTTGGATAAAGAAGATGATATGCATGAAATAGATATTTACAAAGTTGAAAAGGGCGATCAGCGTCCGCATTTAACAAATCGAAGGTGCTCTGAATAGACTCATCATATGCGTCCCCAATGATTGGCAATCCCCCAATAACGTGCAAGTCCCAAAGAGTAATCGTCAATTCACCAATTGACGTAAGCAATGTATTCACCGTAGGACACCACGCTTCACAAAAGGCTTGCATGGCATTCGTACACCGATCATATGTGAACAAGGAAGCATAAACGGCATCATATATAAGCCCCTCCTCCCAAACACTTTTACTCAGGCTCAAAATGTCTTCGGCCCATTCCCAGTACCCTGTGATGAATCTAAACTCACCACCAAATGATAGGTTCTTTTTCAGAATGAGGTTTTCATCAAGGATACGTCTGCCTAGGGAAGGGAGAATCTCAGAGGAAGGTCTATGGGGAAGGCCTGATACCAAAGTCCGCAATATTTGATCTTGATATTCACATTCAGGAGTCCAGTCCATGACACGATATGACACGATAGTTGTCGGCCAGAAACAACGAGCAAAGGGCTTAAAAATCTCCAAAAGGATCTCATCATCGATCTTCTTGCTCGATATTGAGAGATATTTTTTGTTGCCACGCCTCACATCTTTGAGATACATCATTCTATACCGAAAGAAACAAAGTGACATAAAAATGTCATTAATATTATCATTATTATTAATATTATGAAATTATTATAAATTTATAATAATTATATTAATAATAATAGTGATAAAATTCCTAAAGAGAGAGATAAATTCTTCAATGATAGCGGGACTTCGGAAGAGCCTAAAGGCCTGTTTACTAACAGAGATATTGTCCAGTTTTCCAAAAAACTGGAAAACTGGAAAACAGAAAACAGGAAACGTGTTTACCAAAGAAATTCCTGGAAAACTGGAGAAAGGAAAAAAGAAAAACGCGTTTACCAAATCGTTTTCCAAAATGGAAAAAATGAGACATGTCTCTCTTTTCCTTAATGATTTGGAGAAGTGACTTTTACTAGTTTTCCAAATTTGGAAAACGCAGATGCTACAGTGCTGCTGCAATGAATTTGCATACTTACACCTAGTGGTAGGTTCGGTCCCGCTCCGATGTCGATTCCATTACGGTACCTCCATCCTCGTACCTTACCCCTTACCCCTACCCTACCTTACCCACCCAACCCCAACCCGCATACCCATTTTTCCCTATAATGACCCTACCCCACCCCGGCCCCACCCCCGCATACCCATTTTTCCTTATAATGACCCAACCCCACCCCGCATACCCATTTTTCCCTATAATGACCCTACCCCACCCAACCCCACTCCGCATACCCATTTTTCCCTATAATGACCCTACCCCCACCCTTACCGTCATCCTACCCCCACCCCCTACCCCTTCCCTACCTCAGCCCCACCCTGGTCCCGGCCCCACCCTACCGCCATCCTATCCCAACTCCATACCCTACCTCTACCTTACCCCAAACCCTACCCACTACTCCACCCTTACCCCTAACCACGACCCTAACCCACCAACTACCCCCACCCAACCCCCTACCCCTAATCCTTACCCCGACCATACCCCTTACCCCACCCCCACCTATAACTTCCTTACCCCGACCCCTACGAGTAGGTATGGGTGGGTATGAAGGGTTGTGGGGGAGTATGGGTAGAGTGTAAGATCGTGGTAAGGGTAGGGT